AATCGATCGGGGCCTCTCTGACTCCAAGTGCTTTCAGATTCCCTTCAATGCTGTGAGCAGGAGGAGCGGAGCGGCTGTCAGAAGAACACAGGCTTGGTGACTTCAATTTGCGGCGGTTATGTGAAGCAACACAATGGGAATCACAGCCAGGGAGCCCCATAGGGCGCTGGGCCGGCGAGACAGCTGACCTCCCTTTCCTTCCTGCCCCGATGCATTTTTCCCTTCGACCAAATGTTCTTTCTGTGACACCCACAGGCGAATGAGAAGCTTCCTCTCGAGAGCCACAGGGGCCCTGGGCGTCCCTCAGTTCACCCCACATCAGGACCAGGCAACTGGCTAGCAACCAACTCTTATTCATTTTTAAATCCAGGCAGTCCCGAGTGCCATGAGCACTTCTATCTTTAAAAAAGTAGGAAAAGGAAAAAGGAAAGAAAAGAGAAAAAAACCATCCAATCTTATTTAAAACAAATCTGAGCCGGGTGTGGTGGTGCAGGCCTGTCATCCCAGCACTCGGGAGGCTGAGGCAGGAGGATTGCTCCAAGTTTGAGGTCAACCTGGACAACATAGTGAGATCCTGTCTCAAAAACAAAACAAAACAGAAATCCAAAAGAGGGAAGAAAGGTATTTACTGCAATATTATATGTCACACAGGTAAAAGGTAAATGGTAAATACTGTGTTTCCCCCCAAAATAAGACCTAACTGGAAAATAATCGGCCTTGCAAACTAGAGATCGAAACTGCTTGCCCAGTCTCCACGCCTCACCTGCCGCGCAGAGGAGCAGCCGCAGAGGTGCAGAGCACTGTGGTGCAACTGCCTATCACCATGGTAACGACCAGGCCTTTCCCGCTAGATCTTATTTTCCCGGAAACGCGGTACTATAAATGCAGTGCTAGTGTCTCTCACTGTGCTGGATGCTTATCATAATATTGAGCAATGCCCCTGTTCTGGGGTCTTTCCACCAAGCTCCATCCCCAGCCCGTTCTATTTTCTATCGTGAGCACAGTTTTGCTAAAGTCACTAAGTTGCCCGGACTGGGCCTGGACTTTCGATCCTCCTGTCTCAGCTTCCCAGAGTGCTGGGTTACAGCTGTGCACCACCATGCCTGACTGGCCTTGCCCTCTGATTGGAAAACTCCTATCCATCCTGTGAAGCCCAGTTGAAATGCCTCATTTGTGAAGCCTTCCTGACCCCCGCTCTTCAGGTGCTCCCCGGTTTGTGTACTCAGCTGCAGACACCAGTGAGAAACAATCGCCTTCCACGGGCCTCACACCTCAGCCAGGAGAGGCCTTCAGGGATGGCCCAGGTAGGCAGGCACCGGGGGTCCCAGCCCCATCTCTGCCTCACCCCCACAGACCTGAGCCTGGAAGAGGATGCCGGCCAGCTCCTCCTTGGCTGGCGTGACCCGAAGCCTACACGTGGGGCACTGTCGCGCTACTCCTGCGGGTGCCAGAGTCTGGGCCCCTGGGAGGAGGCGGAGCTGGCGCGTGGACATGGCGCTTGCGCAGCAGGCGGCGGAACCACTGAGCTAAACCCCCGGCCTGGGCTTCATCCTCTTTACGTCCCACCCCTCCCTGCAGCTCTTGGCCCCCTTCCCATTTGCAAAAGCTCTCCCTGCCCGTTTCCCATTGTGTGCCTTTTGTTTTGCTCTTGAACTTATTTATAGTTTGTTGTCATAAAGATGAACCATGTGATACTTAAGCTTGTATGTCTCATGTATTTCTCTTCACATTACAGTCTCAGGTGCACCCGTTTTCCTCACATGACTCAGGCTTATCCTTCTTTATGGCAGAGTAGTGCTCCATGGTGTGTAAATACCACACATTCTTGTTCTTTATCCCTTCATCTCCTGATGAGCACACAGGCGGCTTCCAAGAGTTAGCTATGATGACTTGTGCTGCTGTAAACACAGCGTGCATGGATCCCTGTGAGGTGATGTCTTTAACCCTTTGGGGAAGACACCGGGACGGGGCACAGCTGTGTCAAATGGAAGTTTCAGTCGTAGTTTTTGAGGAATCTCCACACTGATTTCCACAGTGGTTGCACAGTTTACACTCCCACCAACAGTGGAGAAAGGCTCTGTTCTCCCCGTCGACATGTGTTATTGGCTGATTTCTCGGTGATGGCCCTTCTTTCTGGGTGAGATGGGATCTGAGCGTTGTTTTGCTTTGCGTTCCTCAATCGGGCAGCGAGGTTAAACATTTTTTTCAGGAGCGCCTTAGCTCCCCTCCGGGTGCGGTTCTGCGTTTAGCCACACAAGGGCGCCGCTGAGCCGCGCCAGCGGCCGCCGGTGCTCAGGAAGGACGTGTCTTCCTGTCTCGGGCAGAGGACGCATGCGCCAGGACTGGTGGCCCCTGTAAGACCGCCGAAAAGGAGTGCGCATGCGCCAGGGCTTGCCTTGCAGGGCTACAGCGGGTGCAGAGGTGAGTGCGCATGCGCTAAGGCTGGCGAGCGGCACCTTCCCTCGAGTGCATCGGACCGCCAGAGACGCTGTTTCCCAACATGCAGCCCTGAGAATAAGGAACGACTGCCAGGCGGCTGCATAAACGCACAGGTCGTGCAACTGTGCAGTCGCACACATAGGTCCTAAACTGGTGACTCTGAGTCAGCTCTGCGTTGGGTGCCCACGGCGATTTCCTGGTTCTCGCGGCTGTGTAATTTTGGTTACGCGAGAGTGCCATTGTGGCCAGGCGGGATGGTGCACGCCTGGGAGGCTGAGGCAGGAGGATCACAAGTTCGACCCCAGCATGGACAACTTAGTGACTTAGCGAGACCCGGTCTCAAAATTTAAAAAGGGGTTAGAAATGTAGCTCAGAGTTAAGGCCTTGGGTTCCAACACCGATACAGCTCCCCATCCCCAAAAGATCAGAAGGTGGCGTATTCTTGTTCATGAGAAGAAAGGGGCGGCTTACGGTGAGTGGCTATCACGTCTAAGATTAGGCTGCAAAACAACCCTGACTTGCTGACACAGATCTGAAAGGCCTCGCTCTTTTCCCTCGGACAGCCAGCAGGGGTCGCGAGCTGACTGACAGCTGGTGCTCGGGCTGCCCTGGAAGCCCCTCAACTGCTCCAGGAAGATACCTGCCTGGGCCAAACAAGGCTTTGCATCACTTCAGACCAATCAGAGGTCTTGATTTGGACCACAGCAGTCTTGAATTCATACCAATTAGCAGCCTAGGATTTGGACCAATCAGCTGCCTCAAATGTGAACCAATCACAGGCCTGCCATTGCTATATAAGCAGCACTCTGGGCTGCCCCTCAGGTTGTTCCGATGGAGCCAGCAGTTGTTTGCTGGGTGCAGTCCAGCACCTGTGCAGAGTGCTGTCGTGATGGTCCGGTAAGTCCTGTCATTTGTCCCAGGGCCAGTGGGCCTGGGAAGGTCCTGTGAGTGTATTTGGGATTCTCCCCCTGTGCAGGGTGGGCAGAATGGGTTGCTTATTTAAAAAGCTGAGAACACTAGGGTAGGGGAGGACTGAAGAGTTCTAGAATCTGACAGAGACCTGCAGCTGGGTCAGTAGACTGGGAGACAGACGGGGTTCAGCGACAACTGGTGGAGACAGGAGGGCTGCTTATAGCAAGCAGATGGCCTCAGCTGGCTCCAGATCTAGGCTGCTGATTGGTCCAAGTCTGCGGCAGTAAGGTGGAGGACCGAGGGAGGGTGGAGCAGGTCTCCTGCAGCCCCTCAGTGACCGGCTGTGTGGTGACAGTTCTGTCTCTCAGCTCAGCCCAGCCTCACACTCCTCCAGCCCATCCCTTGGGATCTGGGAGTCACAAGGCACCGGGAAAGCCAGCAGGGGTTTCCAGTCCTTGTGTCTCGAAGTCAGGGTATGAACCTGCAGCTGGGGCTCTGCCACACCAACAGCTGCAGGACCGTGGCCAGCTCCGCAGGGCAACGTCCAGGGATATCGCCTGGGCTGCGTCCACCCTCAGCTCCTCACACGTGCCCCGACCTCACCTGGGTGAACCAGGGCAGGGCCGCTGCCGCCGCACCACCTTATACAGTTCCGCTTGAGACTGAAAACATTTCAGTGCTGACTGGCTTGAAAACCATCACAAAGAAATTACAGGAGCCTGTGTGCTTCTTCCTCTGGGGCGGAGGACTGAACTGAATGAAGGGCTTCTGCACTGAGCTACATCCTCCCTCAGCTCTTTTGTTCTTTTGAGACAGGGCCTGGCTAAGTTGCCCAGGCTGGGTTTGAACTCAAGATCCTCCTGCCTCAGCCTCCCAGTGAGCAGGGACTACAGGCACATGGCATGATGCCCAGCTTAGCCTGTGCTCTTACAAAAACCCAAGGGCAAGAATAATTTTCAGAAAAGATTTTCTAAACTAAGAGTCAAAGGGAGCAAACGAACAATGCAATTGTGCCTATTTCAATTTTCCTTTCCTTGTGATGTCTGAGGCAAGACACAAGCTTTTAAAAAGCGTACTCTAGAGAGCTGACTGAGCCCTGGTTTTAGGGTGGGAAGGGCAGCAGAGCAGCTTTATTATCCTGGGTACGCAGCTTCTGGTGGTTCCTATACATCTGCACCGCCACCCACACGCACCCGCACCCAGACCCTGAACTGCCCTGACTCCGACTGCCGAGGCATCCACGCGCCCCTCGCCGGCTTTCCACCCTGGGTCTCCCCTCCGCATGACGGTGCTGCTCCAGCCGCGTCATGGACCTGCACAACCGCGGCCCTCTGAAGGCCCACTCCCAGGAGGTTGGCTGGAGCGTCACAATCCACATTCCAGACGCTGCCGTACCCTACAGTGCTCTTAGAAAGAAATAGTACAGGAAATAGAGTATTAACACATACTGGAGCACCGCTCTGCCATAAAGGAGAAACCTGAGTCCCCTGTAGGAAAAGACATGCATGCTGAGACTGGGATGTTACAGGAAATAAACCAGACTCTTAAATATTGCATGGTTTCTCTTCCCTGAGAAAGTCAGCAAAATAAAAGACCACAGGAAGCAGGGAGATAGATCTTTTGCAATGGGAAGGGACCAAGAGAAGAGGGGAGCTGTGGGGAGGGACAAACAAGAGTCAAGATGTGTTACACACACGGACCGACCTCCCGGGATGTGTAAGTGTAAGTACCACCCACATGTGCGAATGAAAACTGAAAAAAAGAAAAAAGTATGTCAGTGTAACTGTGCAATAAGACACACGCCGCCATGAGAATGCAGCCGGCAGGTTTATTTTCACCGGGCGGCTCCTGGCCTGCAGAGCTTGTGTGATGCACAGTGCGCTTGCAGTGTGCCAACTCGGGCCGCAGCTCAGAAGGTCCTGAAGAGCTGGTTGGGGAGGTAGCCCAGGTGCAGGAAGGAGGTCTGGGCCTCCTTCTCCAGGGCAGCCAGCTCCTGGATGGTAGGGACCAGGATGTCCACGTGGCCTTTGTAGTTCCCACCTGCGTGGCACAAAGCACACAGCCACGTCAGGGCCGTCTGACACTCGGGCTGGCTCGGACTGACCCTGCTTCCCCTCTAGGAGCACCCTGCCGGCCTTGCTTCTCTGCAGCACCCCAGCAGTATCTCAGGGGAATGAAGGCCGGGGCCTCACCACATCCCCGTCCCTACCGCCTCTCCACCTGCACGCGGGCAGCTTAGCTGAGTCAAAAGCGATTGAGAACCAGTGGAGGAAGGGTGTCCTGGGCACAGGGAATGTAAACCGGGCCGTCACAGAGCCATGTTAAAGGCTTTCGGGGTGGGGATGTAGCTCAGCAGCTCGGGCCTGCCTGGCAAGCACAAGGTCCTGAGCTCAATTTCCAGTACCAATAAAAGACTTGGGCTCCTTGTTCAAAACCACCGAGCGTACTGCTGCTTCCTAATAATTCCACAGGACGCCCAAGTATGCGTATGACGGTAATACTTGACAGGAAACAGTTCAGCTGCTGTTCCTCGCCCACTGTGACCACACAACAAGAGCGTTGGAGACTGTAACTTCAACATATTTATCTGGTTTTGCACTATTTCTTCACTGAAGTCCAAATCTGAATTTTCTGTGGAAAATCCACAGAAAATCCACTTGTCTATGAGAAGCATTTCTACATAAGTGGTCAATATGCAAGAAAAAGCACTATGTCTATGATTAAGGCAGTAACATCAGAGCTTACCTCTCCATAATTATCAAACTGTTTACTGTGGGATTTCTTTCCCGTTCCACCAAAGCCGAATCCAAACTTGTCAGTACCTACACGGAAAAAGCAGTTTAGTTATCTGGTAAGAGTAAACAAAATTAAAAGCCTGGTGAAAGAAGTAATTCTATAGCTCCTTGTCAAAAAAAACCTGGAAAATTTCCCCTGAAGTTTCTGAATCTTGTGCATAACTGAAGTAATTTTAGCCTATGGAAGCAATTCAATACTCAGATGTCTGCTATACTGCGTCCCTCCCCACTTTCACCACTAAGAAATTCAGATCCCAACTTACAATAACTAAAGCATTTACGCAGTACTATGTGGTGCACACTCCTGCATACCAACTTTACCCCGTATCATGATTTAGCCTAGTGTCCTACAAAAGCCTCCTGTGTTCAGACGGATCTGGGGCATCATCGTCAGTGGACTTCTCCACGCATGAGTTCATTGCTGGCAGTGCTGTGGGAGGTGGGGCCTGGGTGGAGGAGGAACACCTCTGGGGGCCTCTGCAGGGTATAAACAGCGCCTTCTTCCAGTGCTCCTCCTCTGACTTCCTGGATGTCACAGGGTGAGCAGCTTTCCTCCTCCTCGCCCTTCTGCCATGATGTTTCTGTCTTGGAGCAGCTGACCATGGACTGAACCCCGCAAACTGTGAACCAAATTAAACCTCTCCTTAAGTTGTGGGTGTCAGGTATTGTACCCTAGCGACAGGAGAGGTAATACACCTGACTTCGCTGGTATTCTTAACCTTATTCCCCCTTTATTTCATATAATTTTATGTATTTTTCTTAGTTCCTGCGAATCTTTCCCAGAACAGAATGAAGTACAGATAAATATTATCCCAAGAATGCAAACCTTTAATGGTTAATTCTATTATTTTGTTTCCCAAAACAGTAAAATGCTAATAATCCATAAACATAAACCGATCAATCCAGTGACTTTAGAAGCACTCACCAAGGTCTAAGGAGGTCTGCATGGTAGACCACCCGACACTGCAGAGCCCTTGGTCATGACAGGATACTTCATAGTAGTGTTTCCCTAGAGAGGTAAGATATGTCCAGATTCATCCAAGCCACACACACTGTACAATGATCCTTTCAGCCTACGATGACTTTCTCACTGCTTCTGAATTACACCTTGTATGAACCACATGGACACCTTCCAGCTCCTGGATTTAAAGCTAGCTAAGGAAGAGGCATGCATTGCTAGAGTCCCACGTCTACACCAGTACAATGCAGTCCCAGTACCTTTCAACAGTCCTTTGATAGCTCGGCATCCGTGCCACTCCTTCACTTCTGTGCTTTGACAACAAGCCCCATCTGACCCAATTGCTGGATTTGAGAAAGAACACACAAAACATGTCAGTGCAGGCCCCACAAACCATGCATTCTGAAATAAGTATCAGTCTCTCAGTTGCTGGTGCACTTGCCTAGTATGCACAGGGCCCCAGGTTTAGTCCCCAGTCCCACAAAACAAACAACTGTATCAGCCTCTTGAATAAGAGAATCTGTTCACTATTGCAGAGGATCGTCTCGAGTTCATGGCCAGCCTGAACTACAGAGTGAGACACTGCCCCCAAAAACAGCTCATGACCTGGGCTTGCCCCAACGTTTATTTCATTGACCTCACAGTAGAGCACGTTTTTGCACGTGGGTCTTTGGTCCCTTGGAGTATGTACAGTGGGATTGTGATGTGACTCCCGCGCCGTAGGGACTGTGCTCTGCGCCTGTGAGCGCGCTGTGCTCTGCCCCTGCACAGGTGGGTTTGCAAAGACAGGCGAGGAAAATGTCCTTCAGATGCCCAGGCCAGGGCACAGAGCGCAGGCCTTTACCCAACTCTGATCAGCCCCAGGGCCACACATAGGCTCGTGTCTGTTCACTGGCACCGCTTTCCAGATGCCTGGACTGCGTGATTTATAAAGAACAGAAACCCACTCCACGGGGCGGGAGGCTGTGAGGTCCTCAGCGAAGGTGCCGGTGGGGCCTTTGTCCGGGCTCTGCTTCCTCCGGAGTGGAGGGACACCGCGCCCTCTCCTGGCAGAAAACGGGAGGGTCAGAGACCAAACGCTGCAGGAAACCTTTTTTTGTTTTTTGTTTTGTTTTTGTTTTGGTACCGGGGATCAAACTCGGCACCTTACGCTTGCGAGGCATTCGGCAGAACCACTGAGCTAAATCGCTGGCCTAGGAAACCTTTTTATATGGACCTAATCCCAGTCACAAGGAGGAACTCTGCGTGACGTAATCACCATTTCGAGGCCCTGCCTGTGAGTACTAGCGCCTGAATTTTGTATTTTTGTTGTTGTTGTTGTTGTTGTTGTTGTTGTTTTAAGACAGGGTCTTGCTATTGGCCCAGGCTGGCCTTGAACTCGCAGCACTCCTCCTGCCTCAGCCTCCCCAGTGCTGGGATTACAGGTGTGTGCCAACAGGCCCAGTTTAACGCCTGAAGTTTGGAGAAGATAAATTCAGACATATCAGCCCTCTGCCCTTTGTCTTTATAAGAGAGACTGGGAAGGAAAAGAAAAAAAGGAGGAGGAAGAGAAGGATGAGGGAAGGAGGAGAAGGAAGAGGAAAGAGAAAAACAACTACCTTTCCAGGTGCCTATGCAGGGGCAGGGAGCCTTGAGAGGAAGTTTTCCCTGGAAAGATGTAAATGGCAGTCCCAGGTTGAGTCTTCCAGGAATGCTCTTAAAAAGGGACCAATCTAGCCAGACACCCTGGTGCCCGCCAGTAACCCCAGTACTCTGGGAGACTGAGGGAGGAGGATTTTGTGTTCAAGGCTTACCTGGGAAACTTAGCAAGACCCTCCCCTCCATATATATTTTAAAGGGCTGGGGGTATAGCAAAGGCCTTGGGTTCAATCCCCGCCCCCTTCCTGGCCCTCAGCATCTGAGCAGCTGCTCTGCCAGGTCTTCCTGCCTTGGATCCAGCCAACTGTGGACTGACACAGGAGCCAGGATAAACCTCTCCTCTTGTGTTGGTGTCGGGTACTTGTCCCAGCGACAACAGTGACTCAGACAGCTGCTGCACACCTCCACTTCCCTGAAACACTCCTGATTTTGTTGAGGTAGCGATCCCTGTACTTGAGGAACCCGGATGTTCATAGCACATCCTCAGGGCTAAGTCTTGCTGCTTCCACACCAGCTACTGCCATTTTTCAATTTGTTGGCTTAGCTTTCCATTTTTTCACAATTTACTGGACTCAGGCAGGCAGTTTGGAGGTGAGGTGGTGCACATCTAAACATCCTCATTTCCTCCCCACATTTCCTACAGTTTTCTGAGCTGAGCAGCCATCATTGAATTTTATGCTTTTGTCAAAATGAGCTGTCAGAATCCGCTCTGGATCTATTAGAATCCAACATCATTCCCGCTGGCCAGGCATTCACCTTACAGCGCAGGGGCCAGAGGGGGTCTGGCAAACACATAAATTCAGAGGTCTATAACTCTGTATCCCCCAAAGAAGTGGCCATAAAGTCCTTCTCTGCAGATATATGGACGGAGGAGACAAAGGGCAGCCCAAGGGAATCTCTGTGGGACTGTAGAGCAGGAGAGTGGCCTCACCGCTGCTGGCTCATTACAAGCCAGCCTGGCAGGGCAGGATTTATGGCCCAGGCCGCTGTCCCTCAGTGCTGGCCACTTCCAGGGCTCATCAGCCCCAGCAAGTGATGCTGGTAATCTCAGGGAAAGGAGCCGCACTTGGACATGGAGCAGGAGAACATGGCCCCAGGTGATGAGTGTTTAAGGACAGACCATGGGCCTGACCAGTGCTCAGAAACCAGCCAGGGGGTCTGAGTTCTGTTGCTTGCAGTATGGACACACTGTGCACCTGTACCTCCCTCTGGCTGTGACACTGAGCAATCACAGGTTAACAAGGCTTGTTTGTGGCCGGGCGGGGGGGGCGCACACCTGTGATCCCAGCACTCTGGGAGGCCGAGACAGGAAGATGGCAGGTTTGAGTCCAGCCTAGGCAACTGAGCAACTTAGCAAGACCTTGTCTCAAAATTTAAGAAGGGCTGGGATGTAGCTCTGTGCGAAGGCCGTAGGTTCAATCTTCAGGGCCCCCAAAACAAAACAGAACAAAACAGAACAAGGCTTGTGATTATTTTTTAGCAGGGTGAAACAAGACAACTTGCTATGTTAAAAGGGGGTTGGTTACCCTCCCTTGGGCCGGAGATTTAGCTCAGTGGCACCTGTACCTGCCTTGCAAGTGCAAGGTCCTGAGTTCAATCCCTGGTACCAAAAAAAAGGTGGTGGGGAGTTGGTAATAAAAAAAATGGTTCAGAATTCTTAAAATGCCTGGAGACAATAATTCTAAATATACAAATTTATATTGCCTAGTGCCTGTGGTGTTATAATAACAAGAATGGGAATTGTAAAGTATAGCTCTAAATAATGATGGTCCAGTTACTATGGCTGCCTAATAAATTACCTCAAAATCTGGTGGCTAAAAGCATCCATTTATGCTGGGTATGGTGGCAAATGCTGGTAACCGCAGCACTCCGGAAGGATGAGGTGGGGGGGGGGGCTCAAGCTCGAGTCCAGTTCAGGCAACTTAGCAATTTAGTGAACTCTGTGCAGAAAGAAAAATAAAAATGGCTGAGGGCGTAGCTCAGTGTGAAAGCCCTGGTTCCCATCCCCAGTACTGCCAAAAGAAAAAAATCCATTTATTCTGCTCACAGATGCAGATTCCACGTGCAAGGAACAGGGGCAGGGCATGGCAGGTGAGGTCATCTCATTTCCGCTGTGCCCAGCGCTTCTGCCGGAAGGCCCCGGGCCCAAAGGCTGGGGGCATTAGAAGGTTTGGTCATCCACATGTCATCCAACAGCTGGGGCACCTCACTGGCCTGGTTTTCGCACAACATGGCGGCTGTAGTCCAGATGTGAGCATCCCATGGGCCAGGTGGCCTTGAATGACCAAGTTTCAGAAGTCAAGCAGGGTCATTTCCTCCTTGTGAGTCACTTCTAGACAAGATCTCTTGTATTCCAGACATGTTCCTCCTCACCTCGACTGTCCAGTTCCCCAGGTGGTCAGGAGCAGCATAGTAAGTCCCTTCCTTACCTGCTGGTTCTGAGATATGAGGATCCTCAAGTGACCAAGTAGAAGCCCTCACTTCCCATGCCATGGAATTGGTGCTGTGCCTCCTGGTTCATTCCTCCCTTGGAAGCAAGACTTCTAGGGTAGGAGAGCAGAGAGCATCATTGCTATCTCTACCCCTCGATTTCCGGACCTGCCAATTGTGGCTCTGAGAGGAACAGCGCCACATGCTGGACAGTGATTGGGAGCATATGGTCATCTTTGGAAAACCTAATCTGCCACAAGTTACATATTAAGTCCGGTAACTTGGAGGTCACATCTGCCTTGGGAAGAAATGCAAAGGTGTACAGAGGCCTGACAGGGAATGCGGCAATGCCATGTTTCCCTGAAAATAAGAGCTAACTAATCATCCTGGAAAACTAGAGCTCAAAAATGCCAGCCCAAGTCAGCCTTCCTTGCTTCACCTGTCCTACAGAGTGGCCACCCAGTGAGAGAACAGTGAGGTGTAATCTTCTGTGTGACACTGGCCATCGCCATGGTAATGATTGGTGCTTATTTTCCCATTAGGTCTTATTTTCCAGGAAACACAGTGTTAAGCAATTTCCACAAGGGATCCTGGACACCTTCACCAGGTCTCTTTATTTCTGTCCACCTAACGAAACCTACCGAGGGACACCTATGTGTGGAGGCCTGGGGCAGTGCTGAGGATATGGCTAGAAATAAGACATGCTTTGCTTTCAGTGTAACCTATGTTTTCACCCGAGATAAAATATAAACACATTATTATAATGCAAAGCAGAAATGTAATGATAGCAACGTAGTCAGAGCAGCATGGGAATTCTGTGGCCAGCAGAGCAAGGGTGGAAGCAAAAAGGCAGAGCTTTTTTGGGCGGTGACATCTTAGATAAAAATTTTTTTGGTGGTACTGGGGATTGAACCCAAGGGATTCACACTGAGCTACATCCCCAGCCCTTTATTTGCTACGCTGAGGCAGAGTGTCACTAAATTACCAAGTTCAAGTCCAACCTGGGCAACTTAGGGAGACTTGTCTCAAGCAATTTTTTAAAAAAGACCTGAGTATGTAGCTCAGTGCTAAGGCCCTGGGTTCAATCCCTAGGACTGAAAAAATTATTGTGTATATATCGAAAGGAAAATCAAAATTTGTCAAGAGGGAGATGACTCATGTTTTCCTTCTTTTTTTTTTGGTACCGGGGATCAAACTCGGGGCCTTGCACTTGCACAGCAGGCAGTGAAACCGCTGAGCTAAATCCCTGGCCCTGATAACTCATGTTTTCAATGCACATTCCGGCTTCATTCTGTAAGAACCTTCAAAAGTCTGAGGCTCCAGGCAGAGTGGGAGATGTGGGGCCTGGAATGCCCCATGTGTGGTCTCCTCCCTCAGAGTCCCTCCCCCCTCTCTCTCCAGCACCCTTGTCATGAGCTTCAAGGCCTTCTGGAAACCTTTCACTCACAGCCTCCATCGAGATTCAAGGGGAGGAGAGACAAGCTCTGCCTGCTTCTCCCCACCAGGGAACAGAAGGACTATGTATCAGTTACTTTTTAGTTGCTGAGACAAAACACCTGACAACCGCAACTTAAAGGAGAAGGGATTTATCTTGACTCACAGTTTCAGAGGGTTCAGTCCATGGTCAGCTGGCTCCAAAGCAGGAACATCATGGTGGAAGAGGCTGGTATGGAAAGGCTCCTTGCCTCATGGTGGCCAGGAAGCAGAGAGAGAAGGGAGGAGCTGGGAACAAGAATGCATCCTTCCAGGTCATGCCCCAGAGACCTGCTCCAACCAGGCTCCACCTCCTACAGCACATTCAGCCCTGAACTCATCCATGATGAATCCAGCAATGAGCACAGCACCCCCTGATATATCCCCTTCCACACACATGAGACTTTTGGGGGATATTTTTGTTTTCCCTTAAATGCCTTTAAGTTTTCTTTTAGTTAATTTATTCAGGACTTAGGTTGCAACACTTCTTTTAAAAATCATTTACCTAATGCCTGTATCAGAATATAACAATTTAAACTGAAAAGTTAAAGAGCATAACATCATATATCATATGTTTGTTTGTTTGGTTTTTTTGAGGTGGGATCTTGCTATGCAGTCTAGGCTGGCCTTGAACTTCCTATATATCCCGCACTGTTCTTGAACTCACAATCTCCTGCCTCACCTTCCCAAAGTACTGTAATTTCAGGCATGCGCCACCACACTCAGCTTAGGTGTATATTCTTATTTGTAGAGGAACTTAATATGATAAAGACTTCAATAGGAAACAGTTCACTGCATGAAATTCCATGGAAGAGTGACAACTATTGTTATTAGAGATGGTTAATAATCTCCTTTTAGTGGATTTTAATCTTCGGTGTTTAATTTACCTTCTTAACATAGCAGGTGTTTGGTTCTGAGGTTCTAAGAGCTTCCTCAGTTTTAGCTAGTTTGCTTTATCAAAACACATTATTAGTCTTCAGCATCATAGAATCCTTGCTCTTTTGGTTAATATTTTCCCTATAGTTTTTTATTAGTGGAAACTCAACTCTTGAAATGCTCTCCCAGCTCTCTGTCCTTACAGGCCCAGGAAGTCCTTGTCGATGTCTGGCCCTCACTGTCCTCTCTGAGCCCTAATGCTTCCCTCCTCAGTTACCGATCATTCGCCCCATCTATTGAATTAGATAATTATTTGGTGTTTGTTTATTTATTTTTTAATTGTCGAGAGAGCTCTTTTAGGCAACAAATACACCAGCAACTTAGGGAAGGGACTTTTACCATTTCGGTTTTAAAGAAGGGGCAGAGCCAGGTGTGGTGCCACTGGCCTGTAATGCTAGCACGGTGGGGGGCGGAGGTATGAGGATTGCAAACTGGAGTGGAGTCTGGACAACTAGCAGGACCCTGTCTTAAAAAAAAATTAAAAGGGTTGGTGATGTAGTTCAATGCGAAGGCTCTGGGTGCGTCAATTCCCAGTAACGCACACACACACAGACACTCACTGCTGACTTGGATAAGAAAGGCTCACTGACTTGACTCATCTCCCTTAGTGATCATCCCTACTCAGGAGTTAACGTTTCTTCCCTTCCAGCGGTCTGTTCACGCCTCCCCGTCTTAAGCGAATCATAAGCGGCTGTGTCCAGGGAAGCGTGTCCCGCGCGGCCTACCGTAGCGCCTCCCTCCCCCCCTCCCCGTTCCGGGCGGACATGGCCGCCCCCGAGTCCAGTCCTGCTTTGAGTCCTGGTATTGCCGAGGGCGAGGAGGAGACGATTCTCTACGACTTGTTAGTCAACACCGAGTGGCCTCCGGAGATAGAAGTGCAGGTAAAGCAGGCCCCTGGATGGCGGCGGCCCCATCCGCGCGGCCACTCGGCGGGCTGAGCCCTCACGGTAGCCACGTCGCCGAGGTCTGTGTGTGTGTGCGTGCGCGCGCGCGCGCGCTCGTAGGCAGGGGTCTGGGGTGCGAGGGGGCGTCACCCACATTCCGTCCCATTTGGGACTCTGGGTGCGGAATGGTGGGCGGTGCGGGGTGCGGTGGCCACGCAGCCCTCACCCCGGGCGGGTTTCTGCCCTCGAGGGTCCTCATCCTCCTGGACTCTGGGGTCCCTAGCCTGCCCAGGCTGCCTCATCTGCCCTAGGAGACCCTTTCACGGCTGCAGTTCTCCCAGCACCGGTCTGGTCACCGTGGATCCCCTGCTAGGGGCTGAGCTGCGCTCAATCTTGTGTGTTTCAATAAAGAAACATTTGGTGATTGCGTGTGTGTGTCCATGTGTCCATGCGTCCATCTGTCTATGTATCCACGTGTCCATCTGGCCATCTGGCCGTGTCTGCGTGTTTCAGGTACTGTGCGAGGCTCCAAGGACATAGAGATGAACTAAGCTCCCATGAATCATCCATTCTAGAGACTGTAGTAAAGTTTTCTCATAACCTATGGTAATCTCATAATGCTCAAAACGCCAAAGGAGTGAAGGAAAGGAGCTGCTGACGACTGGAATTGGGAGCTCTGCTAGGGAAGAGGTTATAGTGATTGGAATTTAAGAGCTGGACCTTGGAGTGACTAGCTGTCTTCTAGGCAGGGACTTCAGGCATAGGGTGAAGAGCAGGGTCACAGACCTGAATATCCAACAGACCTGAATAATGGAATTATTTAATATAGCAACTGTGTAGTTGGGATTCGTTAGTAGCATTGTCTCTATGCATATACAGCAGATACTCAGTGGACTTGCCTCAAGATGTGGGTTAATGAATCCATGAGAACGCATCTCCTGCGAACAGATCTTGTTTGAGGTCTCCGCCCCTCTCCTACACAGACTTCTTTTTTTTGGTACCGGGGATCGAACTCAGGACCTTGCACTTTTGAGGAAGGCATGGTGCCACTGAGCTAAATCCCCAGCCCATTCTAGCCCCAGTTCTTGTGCTGTCATTTAAGGTTCATCCTGACAGGTGCTGAAGACTGCCATGCTCAACTTTAGACCCGTTGTACCGAGTCTTGATTAAACTTTTTTTGTTGTTTTGATGTGTAAGTAATATTAAAATACTGGCACCTTATACTCAGTTCTCTGAGTATTAGCAAGTGTGCATTAGTGTTTCTATAAAATTATCAAATGTGTTTTTTTTTAAATTGTAGCCTTGAGGTAACCGAAAACAAGGTGCATCGTTTATCATCACGAAAGCAATCAGAGGTAAATATCGCTTATTTATTTATTTATTTATTTATTTTTAAAGTAATGGGCGTTTATTTTTCAAACAGTGCTGGTGCTTTATAAACCAGCTCTGTCCACTCGCTTATTTTTTTTATGATATAGCTGAAAGTTTCTCTTTTTTTTTTTTGGTACCGGGGATTGAATTCGGGTCCTTGCTCTTGCGCAGCAGGCGGTGAAACCACTGAGCTAAATCCTCGGCCCTAGCTGTAAGTTTCTCTACATTTCATTCGTAACTATGCTATTTAGAAAGTTTAGGGATTTTTTTGTTGTTTTGTTTTTTTGGTTTTTTTGGTACCGGGGATTGAACTCAGGTCCTTGTGGGGCCCAAGTGTAGGGATTTTGAAGTATGTTCTTTGGACTTCTCTTGGAGCCTAATGAAACAAAGTAGTGTATGTGTTATCTGAGTTTAATTTTACATACATTTATATAAACAGATGCGTATATATGTATATAGATTTTCATGTACACATATGTTTAATGCTAAAGTATAGGAGAGGTTTAATCATCATGGGTGTTAGAAGAACTAACATTCAATTTTCATTGTCACAGATGAGTTTTCAAAGTTTAACATTTAAAAAATACAAGTAATAAAAATTCATTATAGAAAATTTAGAAAATATAGATAACCATGAGTTAGAATTATTTTTTCCTCATTTTACAACCTAAAGATAATCTGTTGTGTTTGGGACTTTTTTTTCTGTTGATATATACCTAGCTGTAAACACAAGTGTATATATACATATATATATTCTGTTTTGTTTTGTTCTTTTGGTACCGGGGATCGAACTCGGGACCTTGCGCTTGTGAGGCAGGCGCCAGAACCACTGAGCTAAATCCCCGGCCCTTACATATTCTAAACATTATTATTTTGTGGTTATTGTTATATTGGGGTTATTGTTATTTTGTGGTTCTGAAGATTGAACCGAGGGCCTCTTGTGTGCTAGGCAAGTGCTCTGCCACTGAACTACATCACAGCCCTACAGCATTTTTTGACAGTGTGAGAGATTTACTTTCCTATTTTAGGTATTGTTCTTATTTATATATCTTTGGTTTAATTTTTATACAAATAGTTTAGTTTTAAAGGATAATTACTGTGACTCCTCTCCATGGTTTCATTAAAGCTTTTTGGATTAAACTTGACATCTCTAACCACTTTTATTTTTTGTAGTTAGAAATACTTCAAAGTTCTAACACATAAACTTAGAATTAATATAAACAAATATGTGACCATGTAAAAGTTACAGTGTATATGTTGTTCTCATTTTTAGGAGTTGTGTTCTCAGTGTTTGGTTTTGTAATGACTCAGTCTGCAGTGTATTTTAGATTTTTCATCTGTAAACCTAATTTGAAAATGATTCGTAAAGGACAACTGATTTATATTTGGCTTTGCTGTTTCTTTGTATTATAAATCACTTATTATTCTTACGCCAATACATCTGGTACAGGTGAGACTTCAGTCCATCGTAGAAACAGTGAAAATCAAATACAAATGTGTTATTTATAATTATGTTTTCACAGTTGAACCCCAGATCATGATATAGATGCTGACATTCAGGTGAGCCCATTTCGGAATAGAGATTTCAAATATTCTGGCCTGAGCTGAAGCTATCTCAGTAGACTTGGTAATTTTTATCACCTTCATCATTATTAGGAATATTTCATGATGACCCTGCTTCTGATGATGAGTCCTGGGCCTTGTCTTGAATGCCCACGTGATGGGTCTGTTGATGTCCTCCTTTTTAAAAAACATTTCTTCCTTATTGTCCCATCAGCTCTCTTGTGGTCAGTATTCAGTTGCTGTGCAGCAGCAAAGTTTCTTTGGGTTTCATTCTTGGTGTGCTTTCTAACTCTTGAATGTGAAGTATCTACTCAGGCATAGTGCTGATTTTCAGCTTTAAAATTAGAAACCTGTGGGGATTGTTTCATAGGCTTATTTACCACAGGTTGCTTTTTCCTAACCCTCAAAGCCCCAGGGTCACGTGGTCTGTGGAAGAGCCCTTTCCTTGTGTCTGGCACCCACGCAGTGTGTCTGCTTGTAGTGGCTGTGTGTGTCTCTGTCCATACTTGGATCATTTTGGCTTGTTTTCGGAACCTAGTGCATTACAGGGTGGAGATGGAGGGAGAGAGGGTGACTGGAGGGAGGGGGAACCTAGAGTGGTTCTCAGCAGCCTGGCTTGTGTGGGTGGAAGAGGTGTCTGCTCCTGTTGCTGCTCTGCAGTCTCCTTCATCTCTGTCAGGTGGAGGACGCAGGTTGCGTCCTCTCTGTGGGTGCCTGCAGGTCAGGCCTTGTAGGTAAGTTTCTGTCTCCCTACTTGAATTATTCATCTTGATCATGGTGCCCTTTGTGAGTGCATCATGGGTTGTTACCTGATCTTCCTCACGACATGTTGTTTTCAAAAATTGTACTTCAGTTAGCTCTGTTGAGTTTGAGATAATTAACCCTGAGTGTTTTGGGGCCAGTATTTGTTACAAATGACTTACTTTTTTGGTAATGGGAATTAAACACGGGGCCTTCACACTCAGCTACATGACTTCACAGCTACTCAGCTTCACACTCACCCTGGCTCTTTTTGAATTTTTATTGTGAGACAGGGTCTCACTAAACCACTAAGTTGCCCAGGCTGGG